GTTCTTGTTTATCTCCTAACCCTGCGAAAGAACCAAAAAAAGAAAAAAGGAATAAAATTAGGAAGAAGAGAAATTTTTGGGGTTTGCATATAAAAAAGATCTTTAGGGGTTTGGTTAAAATTATTACATATATTGAGGATAGAAAGATTGGGGAGTTTGTTGTATATAGAACAATGGCGTTGAATTTTTCCCATCGGCCGATCTTTCCTGCTCATTTGACTGAAGATAATCTGGTTTCTCCTATGAGGATTGCAAATGGATACCTTGTCGAAGGTATTCCAGAGAAGAATGGAGATGGGTTTTCGAAATCATGGCATTTGAACTGTGAGGTGGAAGATTGCTTTGATTATGGAAGGGATAGGAGTGGTGAACGATGTGGTTCTCAGGAGTCTGTTTCTAATGACATTCTTGATCTTTTGCCATCGGATCCTTTTGGAATGGATATCACCACTACTTTCACTGCGATTACTGGTTGGCTGGAGGATTTGGAAGTTGATTATGGCCGTTATGTGAGAGATGAGGTGGGGACTGGTGATGGGAGTTATCAGTTGTTTGCGGGATTGAATTTTATTTGGAACAATGCCATGAGGTTCCAAACATTCCCTGGAAGCATGGGGTTTGAATGTAAAGGTAGTGTTTCTGGTGGATTTGGTGGGTGTTCTCAGGTGAAGGAAGGAGAGCATGTGCCTGGTGGTGCTGGTCTTGGATCGGCTTGTAATGTAGAGGACATTTTTGCTTTTGGGAATGAAGATTTGGTTTCTGTTGATCAGGAAAATGAAGAATTTCAAGATTGTGAGGTTTGTTCTGATGGAGATGAAGGAGCTCCTCATGAAGCTTTGATTTTGGCCCTCGGTTATCTGGGTGTACGGGATCTTTTTGCTGTTGAAAAGGTCTGCACATCTCTCCGATATACAGTTCAGAATGATCCCCTTTTGTGGAGGAGTATTCACATAGATCAGCCACTGAATGAGAAGATTACTGATGATGTTCTTTTGCAAATAACTAGTAGGGCTCAAGGTAGCTTGCAATGCTTGAGCCTGGTAGATTGCCAAAGGATTACTGATGAGGGCCTAAAGCATGTGGTTGAAAATAATCCAAAACTAATAAAGGTTAGTTTGTTGCTTTGAAACATTGATTTGCATGTGGATTTCTGAATCTTGGGTTTTATTGTTACCGTGTTACAAGTGTATTTGCTCATGCTCTGATGATTGCATATATAGGAATTATATAAGCTTGAATATAAGACTGAAGATGCTTTCATGATGTAATGTGAATTAATCTTTTATGTGTCGGCAGAGTGATGTTGCTATCTACTTTCTGATCTTTGTGTTGTTGTACCAATGCTGATTGTGAATATTTTAAGCTGAGAAATAGTTTCTTCCTTTATAGAGTCATGTGAGAAAGGTACTATGTGGTAGTTTGCGTGTGTGTTTTCTACTTGAGCAACATATATGTGTAGGTCCACTGCAGTTCTTTGTGGTGCTTCAGCTGTTGCGTAAACCAACATCAATATGATCAAACTGAACTTGTCAAAGTTAATGTAAAGTTTGTTGGATTAAAGCTTTTTAGCTTCTATGTGGCTAACGTAATCTAACTATAAGTTGAAATCAGAGATGTGCATTTCAATGCTATGATATATTTAGGAAATTTATGTTGAGGGCTGTTTTAATGCACGGAAAACCTAAGGTTTGGAAGAAACAAACAGATATTTCAGCTGGTGTTGTGTGAGTACAAGCTTGTGAAGCATTTTTAAAACCTAATTGGGAAAACTTCAGGATTGACTCTGTTTACTATGGGCATAGAATTTTTAAGTATAGTTGCTGTAAGTATGAAATATTTTGGTTTAGTTTAATATATTTGTTTGACATTTTTATATTTAGATTATACGTCTTTCTTTTCTACTGTAAGCTGCTAAATATTTTTCCTTCCTTGTAGCTGAGTGTACCTGGATGTACAAGATTAAGTATTGAAGGTATTTTGAATAGCCTGAAGGCTTTGAAGTCTATGGGCACACAAGGGGTGAAGCATTTGAGGATTGCTGGTGTCTATGGGGTGACACCGAAGCATTTTGAGGAGCTGAAGTTCCTGTTGGGCATGGACAACCAGATTCAGCAGATTGTGCACAAGCCGCATTTTTATAACAGAGGAAATTTCTATCTCTCTTGTGATGATGATCGTGCCATTGATATTGAAATGTGCCCAAGATGCCATAACATGAGGCTTGTTTATGATTGTCCTGCGGAGGGTTGTCAGCAGAAAGAGCATGCTGCACAGTTATGCAGGGCATGCACTCTTTGCATAGCACGGTGTGTTCAGTGTGGTCGGTGCATTAATGACAGTGAGTATGAGGAAACCTTTTGTCTGGAGTTGCTTTGTTCAGATTGTTGGAAGCTACAACTGGTGAAGTGCCAGGAGAAGCAGAATGGGATGATTGGCCCATCAAACTTACCTGCTCTCCAACAGACTGGCAACCTCAATCTCCATGGCTAGACTGAATTGTTTACACATTTTCTGGTTTCTAAACATGGTTAAGATGTTGCGTTTGTGATAATTCAAGGCAGCCGGACAGCGATGCAAAGATTATGGTACCATTTTATCTTTGTTATTGCCTTTTTAATCTGCTAACAGTTTAAATTTGGGTGAGCCATATGGTCCTCTTGAGCCAAGGTTTGGTGATTTTTGGAGAAAAGCGGGAAAAGAAGATAAAAATCTTGGGCTGCATGTGTTGTCCAAGATGAATAATCTTTTTTCTGTGGTTTCTATAGTTGGGCATTGTCACTTGGTTGACATATTTGTGTTTGCTTGTGGATGGTCAATGCTGAAGTTGGGTGTGACATGACCTTGTGTAATTATGTGCTGTCAAGAGTAGGGTGGAAAGTGTGAGTCGTCAACTTGAACTTTTGGCCTCTCTGTTGCTGGAGGAATTTGCTGTGATCCATCATGTTGCAAGGCAGGCCATGCTTCAAGGATTATCTCACATGGTTCTGAGTGGGGTCTGTTTACGGCACCTTTCCACTCTGAGTTGGGAAATCTAGGCAGCTGTATGCAATATTTGTTCCCTGGATCCTGGCTTGTTTCTTTAATAATTGGAATTTATCTTTATATTCCACCATGTGATTGGAATTAGGAACGATACAATGGTACTTGTTTCTTCCTTGGTTATGAGGAAGACATATTCTATTGTTTGATGTAAAATTTAGACGTTTGCTTCCCCTTAACATGTTGGAGTGTATTGGGCATCACAGAATAGTGTGCTGCCCAAATGTAAGATGTGAAGTGGGATGTTGTAAAATAAAAGGTTTACTTAAGCATCTATTGCGTTTTCTACAACTAAATTATTTGGAAGAAGTCTAGTGTGAGTCCAATTAGGGTAGGATTCTAATCAATGCTAGTTAGTTCAACTTATTTGTTTTGAGTTTTGGAAGTGTAGGAGAGAGAAGTCAAAGCTGTGAATTTGTATGACTTCCAGTATCATACAAATATTGAGATTGTTAGTAAGTCCCAATGTAGATAGGTTGCAGTGTTTTGTGAGGCAATATTAGCAGACAGACAGCTTTCCTCTGGAGATGCTTCTCCTACCTGGAAAGGTGCTTCTTGTCCGGTCTCTATAGAGCCTAATAACCCAATTCATATCAACAACTCTAATCTCTTCGGCTTGCTCGTTCTGCATTTGATATTGGGATTTAAATGTGGTTTATTTGTTTCTTTCTACAATATAAAATTTGTGCAACTTCAAACATATGCCATAACTCCATTTGTTTTGAAAAACTTTCAAATTGTAAGGGCCAATGCAATACTATAGCCGGCTCTGGTTTATTCGCAATCCTATTCCCTTTTCATAAATCTCCTTTCAGTCTAGAAGAATTTAAGTCCATTTCCCATCCGCATGTAACAGCAAAACCCTTATTAATGTACGTTGATTCTCTGTCGATGACATGTTCAAAGCCTAGAGATTTACCCATAAAAATATAGCAAGCCAAGACAGGGTCAATCAACACATTGATGCATGTCCCTCTGGGAGCATCAGCTTAATTATGAGCAGATACAACAAAACACACATAACCAACAAATAAATCCTAATACCTGAAAAAGAGAGAGAGAGAGAGAGAGATGCATTGAGTGTTATCTTCTCCTTTTTGATTTTCACATTCCTCAAAAGTAATGAAACATATGGAATCAAATGAAAGATGAAAAGAAGGAAACTAGTAAAGAAGACGTTATGATCTTTCTTTTCCTTTTGAATCAAGAGGGGTTGGGGTTGCAGAAATTAGATAAATTCCATCATTGAATCAAGCCGGGAGTTAAATTCCATCATTGAATCAAGCGGGGAGGTGGTAAGAGCTGTAACAAAAAGACAATAAGAATGAGGTCGAGGTTGAAGGATCCATGGAGGAGCACAGCAGATGATCTGCTTCTTATTTGCAGTCATCTTTTTGCTGAGATTTCTTACGTAGTTCTTTCATCCATTTGAAACTTAATATTGACTTGCTAAACTTGCTCTTGCTGGAACCTTCCTTCTTCTTCTTGTTGTCGGATGCTCGTGGTGAAGGGTCAGGGTTGTTGTAGTCCCATTGATCAGCCCAGGATAACCCAGAATCCATCTCTCCTTTCTTTCTCTTATCTCTTCGGTATTAATTGCTTAAATGCTTTTAGATCAGCAATGTTAATAATTTACCCTCCTGTTTGACTGGAGGAGACAGACAAGCATAGGCAAGTTTGGCCAAAGTTAGTTATTTTTGGGTGTGCAGCATTAGAAATTTCTCTTTTAACGGCCATTTTGCTTGTTTTAGCCAGCAGTTTGACGTTGTTGTTTCTTTTTCGTTTGATTGGAGGTTCACATTGCTTTCATTCTGGCTATAGAAATCAGTCTTCCAGGGTTAACTCCACCAGTTATTTTGGGGAACAATGTTGTCCTTCACAAATCTATTTTGACTGAATCTCTACAGCAAGCAATGACAGGTTCAACCATGAACTATATATAGAAGATAGAAGGGAAGACGTTTGGCAGAGGACTAATTTTAACATGTTTTAGTCATAATATATATCATATGGCCCCTCTTTTGCAAGGCAAAAGATATGAAACAATAACACTGGTCTATTTTTACTCCCTGAATGCGTTACCAGGAACCAAATTGCGAAAACTTTATGGACTACATGTAGATCAGAACTAAACCATTTACAATCTATGAGGAATCATGGTTCAATGGAATTATAAGTATACAATTGCCACTAGAATGCCGATCCCCAAATATATGGGGTAAAATTAATAACAATTTAGGACCATCATCTATAAAATTCAATATGACCTGCAATCTCCCTACATAACATCTTTGCTCCACTAGCTAACTTTATGCTCTTAGAAATTGCAAGACCTGTCTGCTTGTGAGTAGATGCAGGCTCATATGCCTTAGCCTTCTCTTCCTTACCCAACAAGAGGGCCTCCCTAGCAGGTATTACATTTCCCCACCAAAATTCTCGTAAAATGCCATGTATAAGATCCCAATAACTGCGTTCTCTATGCACGCGGAATATTGTGCTTCCATTTGGGGTCCAACAATACAAATCAACCCATTCCCTGTCCATTATCTCCATTTGACCCTGAACCTGAGGCATGTAATAAAATGGCATAGTTGACCATGGCAGAGCAGTCTCAGGTTTGCCTTTGTTGTATGGACACTTTACTTCCAGGATGCCACCTCCTGGAAAGCAACCAAGAAGACCATCTGGAGATGCACCAAGCCAATCAAACTGCTCCTTTGAATGGATAGCAAAACCTAATGAGCTAACCTCACGACCCGTGATACTTCTGTACCGCTCAATAGCTGCTGCTTCATTGAGCACACCCCACTCCATAGCACAGTTCTTAGAAGATTCTATAGCCTGCGTTTCTGATGCAAATACTTTTTCATGCCAGAGCTCAGAGCGGCGCTTTCCTTTCCAAAAGCCCAAAGCAGTACTGAAGGTGCTTGTGGTCAACTTGTTCCTACGAAGGGCAAACCATTCATCTGAGCGTTGAGGTGCATCAAATGGGGTGAGATTGATAGCTAGCACTAGTGATGATGGAGAACGAACAATGAGAGGGGTGGCTGGAGAGGTATGTGTTACGATGTTGGTGGAAAGGGTTCTTCGATATCCATTTCTCCACCTTCTGCTCATGGACAAGGGAACCACAGCTTTACGGTGAATGGCACAAAATTTAGTCACGTAGCAATTACTCATTGTGAAGGAACCAGGCTGTGGATAGCTGCTTTATTCTGATACATGATCCAACAAAAGCCATGCAAATTTTAGATGCATCCAGTTTCAGGACCAAAAGAGAGAAACATAATTAGATAGATTTCCTCTATAAAATTCTGTTTATCAAAAAGGTAGACATGAATGAAAAGCATTAAAAAGAGAAAAAAAAAACAGAAAAACATAATCTAAAATAGTAGACAATAAGTTGGTTACAAATCCATAGCACAGTAAATACTTATCAAAAAGATTCAAACCCACTTTCTAATCCTTCAAGAAAAGCACCATATTCTATTCTTGTTAACGAAGCGATTATTATCTCATCTTGGTGGAGGAAAAGGAAACCCAAAAATATTTTTTAACACTGAGTTAATCTGAACTTGGCTATTCTTTACATTTATGTTTACACAACAGAAACAACAGAACTTTCAAAAACCAAAGACATCAAACAGGAAGCCTCTTAAAACTACTTGCACAAGAGTGGCTTGTGATAATTTCTTTTCTAACAATGCAACCACTTCGCTCCAGGCAATTGCATCCTGTAAGTAACTAGTCAGGTTATACATGTAAATTGTAAGCTTTTCCGACCCAGAAGAATAAAAACCTGAATTTTTCATACAAAATCGTATGACTCAAATAAAAATATAAAATAACATTAGGAAGCAAAGTCACCATTTTCCCACTCCAAGCTAAATTCACAGACAGGTAAAAGAAACCCGTGAAGCAGAAGGGGCAAGCAGCATTCTTCTCCTTCTGCTTCTTCCATCAGACAATCAAAATGGGCATCAATCAAATAGAAAACGTAACTCCACCTCTACCACAAAACTCACATAGAACCCAGCAAACCCATCATTTCCACATTAAAGAAACAAAATGGCCAAGAGGTGTTTGATCATATACCTGAAGGAGAACTTGAGTTGCTAAATAAGACTGAAATAGGAGCTGAAAGAATGGCTATGGGTGTTTTAAAAACAAAACATGGGTTCTTTCTTAATTTAAAGCAATCGAATTCAATCAGCTTGACCAATATAATTGGGTTGTAACCATGGCCTTTCCTGGTTTTTTTAGGGTTTGGCTCCACCAACGAAGACCGGAGCTAATAAAATGAAGGGGGAAGAAAGCGAGCACTTGAAGAACGCAGGCACCGTTTTATTATGTTTCTTCTGAAACGGCGTCGTTCTGTAATCCGGAGCTAATGATGGAATATTGGAATTTACTTGTATTTTCATTTCAATCCCAAAGGTCCAATCCTTTTGAAGCTCAAGCCAGGGCATGTAGTTGCAGTAGGAAGTTTTGTCAATATATGTACTTCCGTTCCGTTTAAGGTAAAGTTGAAACTTTTTTTTATTTTTGCACACAAAATCACCAACTTGAGTTATGCTAGCAGGCTAGCATAGCATTCAATATTTTTATATTTGGTAATGTGGCAGGCAGTATTAGTTTGTTGCTCAACCTTATACTTAGAAATATAATAATAACAACATTAAATCAAGGTATCAAATTGAGTGCTTCAATCAATCAAGCAAACAATTAAAAAGGGTACTTTTAATTTAGAAGTAACGACATGTGATTCTCATTATCAAATGTAACTTTGTCCTTGACAACAATTCCCCTAAAGGAAAACAAGGATTGGATAGAGTCGAGACAGAAAGGCCACGACGCAACGCGACGCAACGCAAATGAAAAACAACGGCCAAAGGCAAAGAGAAAGAAAGGACGAGTCCACTTTCTGCTTATTCCTCTTTCTCCGCTAATCATACACTCATCACTTCCCAAGCTTTTACTTGACGCTCTCTTCTTCTAGCTTTGTCTCCCTCTGCTGAATCTTAAAGAAACAGCCATCGAATAAAATCAAATCGCCATGATTTCACTTCTCCTTCTCCTTGTCAAAACCCTCACTCTTTTCAACTCGTAAACCCGTCAGCCCAACCAAATTTATACCCTGCAAGTACAAAGAAGAAAAACCCATTTCCATTTAGATTCAATTCCGCCATGTACTTATCGGAGAAGCCCCGCCCAATAGACTTATACAAAGAGGAAGGTCCTGCCACCGCCCGGGACATGATCATCGAGGTCACCACCAACGGGGATTTACCACCTCATCACCACCCTCCTCCTCTCCAACAACAGCAACAGCAAATGATCCTTGGTGACAGCAGCGGCGAAGACCCAGAAGTCAAAGCCCCCAAGAAACGAGCTGAGACCTGGGTCCAAGACGAAACCCGAAGCCTTATCAGCTTCCGAAGGGAAATGGACGGCCTTTTCAACACATCCAAATCGAACAAGCACTTGTGGGAGCAGATATCGGCTAAGATGAGAGAGAAAGGGTTCGATCGATCGCCGACTATGTGTACAGACAAGTGGAGGAACCTGTTGAAGGAGTTTAAGAAAGCTAAGCATCAAGATAGAGGGAGTGGGTCAGCTAAGATGTCTTACTATAAAGAAATTGAAGAGATTTTAAGGGAGAGGACAAAGAATGCGTATAAGAGCCCAACTCCTCCCCCGAAGGTGGATTCCTTTATGCATTTCGCTGATAAGGGTATGTGCTATTTGTTTGAGGTTTTTTTTTTTTTTTTGCCATTTAAAAGATGGAATTTTATCGAATCATTGTTGGGTTGTAAATGGATGATGATGGGTTTTCTTTTGTTGAAGGCTTGATTTGGATTTAAAAGTATGCTTTTGGTTAATATGAATTTGACGGATTTTCAATGCAAATACCAATGTCGTAGCTTTATACATAGACTGCTATAATTTTTGAAGTTGTAAAATTACTTCCTAAAGTGACTTAATATGGTTTTATGAATTGTGGTTGAAAAAGGAAAAAGGAGAAGAAATTATTTTTGGTTCTTTACCTTTAGGAGTTTCTTTGATTGGAAATGACTTTGACCGAGTAGGCTTTTGTTTTCATCAATGGTTGTAGTGAGTGCTTTAGAAGAAGGCTTGTCGCAGTCTTGTACCCTTATGAAATTTGGTACTTATAAAATTGCTGCTTTTAAATGATATCTTTATTGCTGAGTTTGGGTGGGTAAATACTTAACATGTATTATATCTACTTGTGAAGCAAAGTGTCATGTCTAAAGAACAAATTAGTGATTTAAATATGATATGTAGTTCATGGTACTTGAAGCATGAATTATGCTGAGCAGAACATGAATGAGTTTTCTGCAAAGCAAACTTCAAGATATGACATAAAGGCAGTAGCTTATCTTGTTTCCTTAAAATTTAGAGTACCACCTGTTAATAAGAACAGGGAGCAGTATGTTGATATATTAAGAATTCAAATCTTATTTTGGAAGACATAATTATCTATGTACAGTCTATTGATTTCCTCTTTATTGTCTTATGCGGTTGCAACCATTTTTCAATAGCTTTATTCCACATGATACATAGTTTTCGCCTGGTTTGTCTTAAGCAGAAATAATACCTTCCTGTTACATATCACTTCATGAAAGCAGTACATCAGTTTTAGCCTTCCACTTATGAAGATTTCAATGTCTATCTCTCTCTATCTTTAGGTAGAAGAGAGGGGGGGGGGGGGGGGGGTTTTCGTTCATGTATGCTACCTGATTGATAGCTGTATTGTTTCTATATTCAACTTGCAACATATATTAAGTCATTATTTCTATTATCGTGACATTAATAATCGTCACCAATGTGGTTTGACTCTTGCAGGTTTTGAGGATACTGGCATATCATTTGGTCCTGTTGAAGGTATGTTGTTGTAATTTGAGTTTGCTGAGTTCTGGTTTTTCTTGATTTTTTTGTTGCACTCATTTAAAAGCTTGTAGTAATATTTTTCCTTGAGTTAATTTGGGTAAATCACTGAATATATTGGATGCAAAGGCATTAATCTTATCAACCCTATATACCTCATCAACTTCTTACGTGGATTTAGGAGCTTTATGAGGCATAATCTGAGAAGAGCATAACTATCTTGAAAAGAACTCCTACTTGCTGAGCACCAAGTTATGTGCATATTTTTTGTAAGACCAGCGCTGTTACCTGTCATATTAATCAGTAATCAGGCAATCTTTAGATACTGTCACCCTCATTTATTTCATTAGTTAAGCTGGATATATTATTTTGAACTTTAACTGAACAGCCAATGTTTTGTTTTTTTCTCAGTAACCTCTCGTTTCAGCATTGAAAAAATATTTCATGAAGCCAAGACACCTCAGTGGACATCCTTGCTTGTTTATTTCCCTTCATTCTCAATCTCTTGCAGTGAATCCTGACCTTAGCCTTCTCCCATCCAGGATAAGTTCTCCTGAGAGTGAAATAGTTCTGTGCTGATAGAAACCCATGTTGGTTATCCATACTGTCTTACTCTTATACCATGCTTATTTCATGGAGTGCGCAATTAGTATCTGATGGTGACTTTCTTCCTAACAGTGTCTTTGCCTAGAGCGCCATTAACATTTCTAGACAGTCGAAAGGATTTTCATCATATCTGCCCTTATGTTTCCATATTAAAGATTTTGTATGTCTGCATGTGGCTATAAGTGTTTTTTGTGCCCCAAAAGCTTATGGGTTTGGCAATCTTTAGCTGCATCCAATGGACATGCTTTTATTAGGGGCATACACTATGTGAAATGTGGTTTATTGAATGTTAACTTTTGTGGATATAATTTAAATTAGGGAGCTTCAAACAAAAAAAATTTAATTTAGTGAACGTCGTCTGCATCTACCATGGGTCATAAGCCTGCAATCTATTTTTATGTGGTGGATATGGTTATACAATCTTATGCCTTCAATTAAATTTCAATCTCAATGGACTTTCTATTTTACTGGGAATAGTTAGAATGGATGGTTAAACAAGAAATGCACATCAATTGTGCATGTTCATGCTTTTCCACGCTGAACCAACAGTGAAGTCAAAATGAAAAATTATGTATTCTACAGAATTGCTGCCTAATCGTTACTGAACATTGAAGTGTCTTTCATCTATTGATATAGCATACTTGCTTTGTTTTCCATGTTGCTTTTTCTCTCAAATTTTCTTAAAAAGTTATGCATTTCCTTCTGTTTATGCTTTCTCGTGTGTAGCAAGCGGCAGGCCAACACTTAATCTTGAAAGACGTTTAGATCATGATGGGCATCCGCTTGCTATCACCGCAGCTGATGCAGTTGCAGCCAGTGGAGTTCCTCCTTGGAATTGGAGAGAGACCCCTGGAAATGGTAAGTTCTGTGAATTAGATTTTTTCTGAATCAATTTGACCAAAATATATGATGGTTTTGCATGTAGCATCACAATGTTCAGGTGTTTTGGTGGTGCATCATGGGCACATTGTCCTTCTTGCTTAAATGAATGTCATCATGGCAAACTCTCTTGATTATGAGCCTTTGGCTCCCAGTCTTGTCCGCGATGCAAATTTAATCCTTATGGAAATCTGTATATTGACTTCTCATTCTCTTTCACACCCTTTTTGGTAGGTGGGGACTGTCAATCATATGGGGGAAGGGTTATAACTGTCAAGTTTGGGGACTACACCAGAAGGATCGGTATAGATGGTACTGCAGATGCCATCAGAGAGGCAATTAAATCTGCTTTTAGATTGAGAACTAGGCGTGCATTTTGGTTGGAGGATGAAGACCATATAGTTCGTAGTCTTGACAGGGAAATGCCTCTAGGGATTTATACTCTCCACCTTGATGAAGGTAACATTGACATGCATGCAGTTTCTACTTTCTGCAACCATTCTTACAAAAATTTCTCAAGTACTGATTTCATAAAAATATAATGGATGAAAGATACAGCTCTGAATGATGTAATAATCTTCTATCATCTATAAAGTATGGGCAAGGGTAAGGCTATGGATGGTTAACCCTCCCAAGATCCCACAATGTGAGAGCCTTGTTCATTGGGCCACTCTTTAACATTGTGATCTGTTGTCTATTAATCTGAAAGAGATATAGCCTGTACTTGATAGTGCAGAGTTGTTTTCACATGAAATATTACATAGCACAAACTCCAACAACCTTAAGCCAAGGCCTTCATTTGGCTATCAAACATACCTCGTGCTTATCGCAACAGACAACATATGTTTTATCACTGGAAGAAGCGAATAACAAGAAAGGTACTTATTTTTCTCTGTTTATGTTCAAACTCCTGCATTCAGGTTTGGCCATAAAAGTGTGCCTCTATGATGAGTCAGAACATATACCAGTCCACACAGAGGAGAAGATTTTTTACACAGAAGATGATTACCGTGAATATCTGGCCCGCAGGGGCTACACAGGTCTCAGGGAGATTGATGGGTACAGAAACGTTGATAATATGGATGACCTTCGAACTAATGCTATATATCGAGGTGTGAGCTGAAAGCTGGCACATCTTGCTTGCAAAAATGCAGTGCTCTCGAGAGGCTATAATAAAGATGCCTAGTCTTGACATAAGTGTGCACGTGACATTCTGATATTTGCTTCTGGTGCTTATGAAGATTGTGATTATGTTCCAGTTAGGGCATACTAATCCTGAACCCTATAACTGAGCTGTTTATAGCATGTTGTATAATGTTTCTTCTTAGGCCACGAATCAATACAGTTTCTTTTAATGTTGCCATGACGCCCCTGCTTGTAAATACAGATAAAAACAATGTATTTCTAGTTTTTCAATGTTGCCAATTCTACAGCAGTTGATTGCAGTCAGCAACTTAACTTGAACTCCAGTTTTGAGAATTTATATTGCTTTTGGTTGTCTTTGATAAGATTGCATAATGAAACCTTAGTTTTCAAGTGCATGGTACAAAACCTTAGTTTTCAAGTGCAGCTCCAATTTGCCTGTGGTACATGTGATATTAGATTATATAAAATGTAATATTTTTTTATCTCATAAATTTTACTTGATTCACCTTAACATTCAAACTCGAAACTTTGTCTAAAGCCCCTAGAAGTGACACTAAAAGGACGATCTGGCTGTATTTAACCAATAATATGATGCGATAGCAGAAAGAGCTGAAAGCGCATTTCAGTCAAAAAATTATTTTCACGGGGTCTGTACTTGAAACCTGGAATGTAAAAATTCCCTGCTAGAGCTTTTCATGGTAACAATGCATGGTTAATTTGGACAACCAAATAAATTGTGATTCAACATGTACTAATTGATTATCTGCTGTTTGACTTGTTGATTGATTATAGAAGTATAATAGCAGAGATACACTTGAAATTCTTGGGCACTAGGTCAACACATTTGAAAGATTATGTTACTTTCATTCCAACAATTCACAACCATACAAGATCAGACCCAAAAACACCCAGTACATCATTCTTTACCTTCTTTCATAGCAATCTTGGAACTATGTGAATAGATGATTCACAGATTATAATAAACCCAACAGTCAAGAAGGACATATATTGCAGTAGAGAAAAAAAAGGTTCAATCACTCCTACTGTTCGTCCCAGTCATCATTCTTGTATGATACAAGAGTGTCAACCTTGTGTATCTGCATAACCCAACATAAAAGTACTTAGAAGCAAAATAAAATTTTGTCCTCAATTTCCATTACTGTAACTAGATTTTCTTACTGCAACATTACCTTGGTATCAAAGGAATGCAACTTCACCATTTGAGGATTTGCAATCAACTTGGGGTCACTCTCAATCCAAGTGAATGGCACTGCCACATCTTTATCGGTGTATGCTAATACATCAAATACACCTGGAAGAATAAGCAATACAAAGTGAGACATCTGGTGAGGAAGAAAATAATACGGCTTTTTAATCAGATATCTCTCTTACATGGTTCATCAAGGCATGGCAAGTAAGTAATGCTCGAGGCAATCTGTCTCATGATTGCCTGTATTTCTCGCATAATTTCCTTGTCACTCTTTTCCCTTGACACACTGCAATCAAAGACAAACAAAGCATCAATGAAATCCATCTCACATCAGAAGTAATTACATCTGTGAAGTAAAAAGATCATCATCAAATATTACCCTTTCTCAACAACCTCACTATCAGTCTCAATGCTAAAATTCCACCTCTCCAAGACCTCATTGGTTGCCTTGCTCATTATAACCAACACAACCCTCTGTAGCTTCCCAGCTTCCAGCCATTCTTTCCCAACAATTTCAACATCAAATTAAGTCATCAGCAATTTCATTTGCAGAATGTTGGGAAATGATTAATATAGATTTAAGTTTATCACATTTTCCAACATCTTTTATAAGCAACCAAGAATATACCAAAACAGAGATTTACCAGAAAGCTGAGCTGTCAGGTTAGTAATGAAGGATTTAACACCTTCATCTTCAGTAAGCAACATTGGAAGCCCATATTTCTTCACTCTCACAAAACTTTCTTCTGGATAAACCCCTCGATTGTACAGAATGCTAAACAATTATGAAATCAACATCCACTAGCTTCAGAAAATAAATAAGAAAACAAGGACAAGAAACCCAGAAATAAGCATCCACTCATTTTTACCTATTCGCTGCATATCCTGGAAAAAAAAAAAGAAAGAAAAGAGAAATCAGCCAAAATTTCTCAAAAAACTCTAAAAAACCCAAAAAGGGTAAAAAAGAAAGTTACGTTTGGGAAATCACATACCAAAGAACTCGCTTACAATTGCCGCTGAGCCTCGAAGAGTGATTATATCTTTGGCAATTGTTCTTGACGCCATTGGACTTCTTTCTACGATCAAAGCTTCTTTCGGATTTGAAGCGAAGCCTACTTAAAAAAAATTCTCTGTTGTAATTGCTAAAATCAGTAGAAAGGGTAAGCGGAATCAGCGATTCAGGAAGTAGATAATTAGGTTTGAATTAGATGATATGGATTATCGGTGGTGAGTTTTCAAGAAATAAGGGTTTGAGAAAAAAAAATTGAATGAAAGGGCCAACAAAGCAGAGTAACGGCTAGTTTCCTGGAGCCAACGGTAACTTTTCAAATTGCGCCTTTAACGGTAAGAAAGTCGGTCCGCTTTTCTTCTGTTTCCGGTGTTTTTATTTGTAAGACACGAATGGTACGGCCACATAGCATAATCTGTTTGGCTCCCGTTAATTTCTTTCTATATCTTTTAAGCCAACATTTCAAAGAGACCAAAGTCGTGTGTGTTATCGGGTTATATTAAGACAATGTCATCGGTTATTATTCTTTTTATATACTTATTCCAAGAATTCTATCGCCACCCATTTTTATTTAAATGTAATTAATCCTTAATTAAATTCTTATTTTTAACAAAATTTTAAATTTAACTTATATTCATTAAAAGTAATAAGTTTCCATTTATGAAATAAATTTAAATTCGAGAGTATGATTAAGTATGGAACAAATATTAATACCCTCATCATTGATTTAAAAAATAATATTAATCAATCATGTATTATCTTAAGTTTATTTTAAAATAACCCTCAGACTTAAGAAAAGCCTCACAAAAATCCCAAACCAAAACCCTAATCCTCTGCCCGTTTCTTTTTTGGGTTGTTGTTTTTGTGGCTTTTCCTTTTTCGGTTTTGGTTTTCATTATTATTTGGGCTTTAAAATCCAAAAGACTCAAAAGTTCAAATGGTCAAAAAATCTAAGTGGTTTAAAATTTCAACCGAGTTGAGCCCAATAGATCTTTGTAAAGTAAATCCAATTAGCAATTTAAATTACCATCTTAATTAAAAAACCAGGCCTTTGACAATTACTAAAGTGCACTTCAAACTCAATGAATTAACCTTAAAAAATATGTATAATAGGTGAAAAAAAGCCTATGTTTATATGCACTTTGTTTCTTATTGATATGAGATTCATGACTTTACACTAATTTGATTGTACCTCAAACCAGTGTATCAAGTCCGAATTTGTAATCTTACACTGGTATGGGTATACTCCGAGTCTACCTCAACCCTTGTATTTAATCTTACGTCAATGAAAATTTGAGTTTACTTTAATATTACTCGTCATAAACTCACGTTTTCAATTTAAAAACATGTTTGATAAATGGAGAAAGATATATATTTCTATATAAAAAACTTACCCTATCTTTTATGGATATAAGATTTGTAATATAAGCTATAATTAAAAATGATTTCAAATATGACCAAGCCTCAAAAGTTAAATAATGGAAATCGAATTAACTGTAAAAATGATTTAACTTGAAATTATTTTTGAAATTCACATTAAACAGTTTTGGACAAATGAGATATTTACGCTAGTAGCTTAATTTTTTTACATGTTTAAAATAGAATTTGTTTTATATGCTTAACTCAATTTTTGTTAATTTCTTGCTCTTTTATCTCATTATTTAAACCAGGCAAACTGTAACGGACACTAACAACAGAGGCATTATTATCTCCTAACACTAAATAATTGTGAGATTAGATATAAAACAATTAAATCTCAATTAATTAAGGCTACCCTTTTCATATCTTCCAGAGCATATATAGGCCCTTAGAATGACAGCTGGCACACATATATGGTTGACCAATCAGAAGCAGATTAAGTTAATTAAGAGCAAATCCACAAAGAATCTTCTTCTTCCTAAGGTGATTTTCTTTCCTTTTGAATCCGCTCAAAGAGTTATATATACCTTATGTAACTACTCCAAGCACATAAATAATACAGAAGCAAAGGCTACAATTTATAAGATAGATATGGACAAGTCTGGTCTTAGCTTGGTTTTTCTGGCTGTTCTAATCTGTGCATCTCGTTAGTTTTTCTTTATTTTCGATCTCTTATTATTGTTATTCTCATACAGCACAAATGTTATCTTTTTTTTTCTTGTGAAATTAAGATGGTAAACAAAAATAATTGGTTGCAGATTGGGAGATGGGAGCTGAGGCAAGGGGTCCGATTATTTCATTTAAATGCAACAAGACTCCTGACTGTGGCGCAGTGTGTTCCAAATGCCCAGCCTGCAAGTGCATTGATCACTTCTGCACATGCCCGACGACCCAGCAGCTTCCTCCATCGGCTGTGAAAGGAACAAATTCATATAATTGAATATGTAATCAAATCACCCCTTGCTTAGATTACAATAAACTTAACTTTCTGGCGAGGATGCAGGGATATATTAGCATGACAGAAAGTTTGTTCTTCTTTTCTTTTTGACTAAATTAATGCATTACCCGAGTAAGTTGATCTATGTGTTTTGTTTATTTTATGATATTTGTTATGTCGTAATATATCTCGATTAAAGAATTGACCGTATTTAGTAGAAAATATTGTAATTGGTAAAGCTTATTTTGTTGGTATTTAAACTTTTGTCCATACCTCAATTTTTCATTGGTAAATTTTTGAGAGAATATTCTGTTAAAAGTTTAGTGAGCAAAACATCTAATCAATCAGCAACTTGAGTAGTCGATATTAAATGGTTTTCATTAAAATTATCGATGGAACTTTCATCGATGATGTCTTTATTTCCACCAATAATGTGATCTCAAATTCTATCCGTAAATTGTTAAAATAGTCGATAATTTTTTAAATTGAAAAATACAAATAATTAATAATTTTAAATATTATAAATATATAAAAAATATTTTTTTTATTTAATAAAAAAAAGAATACTACAATCAATAACAAAATACAAGTTTTTTAAGAATATAAATCTATCTATTAGCATCGTCTCTTAGTCGCGCATCTCATTATTAGAAATGCTAGTTGGCTGCTCTAATCAAGATTCGACATGATCAATCGACCGCATCACGCATTAGAGGATTTGTTGGACACTCAACTCCAAGTTCATTAAACGATTCTCCATTTGGTGCACATTTTCTTTCAATGCCTCGTACACCTCAGGATTTTGTGAAGGATCGAAGCCTAATCTAGTGATTGGCATGAGTCTTCAACTTCATTACCTTTTGTTCTCAAAGTGCTTTATATAGTTCATCCATTATGATTGCATTGAAGGGAATGGTCCTCCCAATGTAATCATATTTGATTCTAACTCCCTTATCAAATGTGATTATATTGGAAAGACCATTCCCTTTAATGTAATCATAATATATAAACAACAATAAAAATACAAAAGGAATGAAATTGAAGACTCATGCCAACCACTATATTAGAAGTCAAAGAAGATGGAGGTAGGCATACATTTGTTTTGTAGAAACACTCATTTTGGCTTTAGACGAATACACAATGTTGTACAAACTTCCAAGAAGGCCTCCCACGATTTGACAATGGTGTCCCATATTCTAAGAAATGCTTAAGCCATTTATCTCCTTTGAAGTTTGTAGAACACTGTGCATCATTAAAGCCCATGATTTGTTTTGTAGTCTTTATTTAATTTTCATTCAAAGATTTCATTGTCAAATGCTTTGGTAAATTTTATAGACCTAACCTACTTACCTCGTATTATTTAACAAATAAAGAATTCGTACTGCTCTGTGGGTTGCTAATAATGTCATCAAGCATACAAATTTCTTCCCTCAATAATACAAATTCCCTATTTGCTAAATAATTTGGGGTAGGTAACTTAATTCCATAGAATTTATGAGTGATGAATTGTGCTGTACTCCTTGAACCCAAACTCTTGACCTACTTCTCATGCTTTGAATATTCAATTGCTTAGACACATGTTGCAAGATCGAACTTATTGATAGAAAATTTCATTGGCAATTAAATAACCTTAGAAGGTTATTATTGACGAAAATTCTATCAATAATTCAGTTGATAAATCAACAAAATTCAATAAAATATTATCAACATAATTTTCGTCAATAATGTAAATGCGTTGTCAATTGATACGATCATCTGAAATTCAGTTGATAAGTTCCTTCAGTAATCATCAACACCAACAGATATGATTGATTGCAATCTTCACACCTTCCTTGTTCATTGCGCGCCATCAATTGCAAGTTACCGATCACTTTTTGACGAAAACCATTTTATCGATAAATTTCAACACTAATCGGTTGGCACTACGTCAATTGTGTTTGATCAAAAATTGATTGATAATCCATTGACATTGCTGACGAAATTTGTTCTGTCGTTCAAATTCGTTTTTTTTTTTTAATGCAACTTTATGGTTGATAATTGTTTAACTCATGCTCACTCGTATTGATTGATTGGTTAAAATGTTAGAAATAATAGACGTCAAAAAAAACAAAGTATATTTATTGCGTGCATGAGAGGACATGCATGTGACATTGCACTAAAATCAAAAGTCATTAAACTGATATAGGCACGAAAGGGGCAGTGCAATTGTCAAAATCATGAAAAACAAAAGATGATCATACCCTTGGAGATCGGGTTGGCATCTGGTATCTGCCAGCTTCAAATAGAATACAAGAATCTCAAAGGCCGAAATTGAAGCAGTGGTCCTCAATGTCAATGTGAATCTTTTTCATGCTATAATGGTGAAACTTGTGCCTTCCTTTTCCCAGTCATAAAAGGGTGTCGACATTGTGTCTTCATTCATTTCCTCACTTCTGTTTACATCTTGTTCCTTCACAGGATAAAGCTTGCTTGCTTGCTTGCAAATCCTTGACTCACACATCGATTGCCATCGTAACAAAATTATCAAGATCAACATCATTGCGATGAGGTGAAATTAATAAATGTATATCTTCGAGAACACTCTTTGTGATTTAATTTCATGCGTATTATAATGACTTATGAAAAACAAATCATATTAATTGGATTATCCCTTAAATAGCTCAAGGAACCAATTAAAAACGTTGGCAAAACATATGTCCATCAAATATTCTTGCATTAAAATCAAATTAATTAAACGCATAATTAGGTTCCAACTTTGAATCATTAATTAAGTCAAACAAAAAAGTTGAACCAACAAGTCCAAAAATTGAAAAAAAAAAAACTTTTAATGTCTTTTAAAAGTCTAATCTTTTTTAGTAATTAGGAGTTCAAAAACTGGTTCTATCCACTAATGAATATTCAGTATGTAAATTATTGAGTATGTAAATTATATGTATGGGGTTATTTATATAATTAAATCAATCCCACTACTGCACCCAGGATTTGTCGTTTTGAACAATGAGGCGCCCCCACGCAGTATGTGCTGTGCTACCTTTGAGAATGATAAACATCCACTTTTTAACAGATTAGTCTAATAGAAAGTGCAACCACTAGCTATTTTGATTTATTTGAGCCCAGAATTTTATTTGTCTGAGTAATACAAAGTTTCAGAATTGAACCTTTCACTAAGAGTTTTTGGTTTTGGCCAAGAGACAAGACACCCCAGAGTTGGATAA